CGAACAGTGATTCGTCGAAATACGTACGAGTGGTGAACAGCCAGAAGTGTATCCGCGCGGGCGGTAAACACAACGACTTGGACGACGTCGGCAAAGATGTCTATCACCACACGTTCTTTGAAATGCTTGGCAACTGGTCTTTCGGTGACTTCTTCAAGAAGGAGATCTGTCGCTGGGCTTACGAACTGCTCACACAAGTGTATGGTCTGCCCAAAGACCGGATATACGTTACGTATTTCGGCGGTAATCCCGAGAGCGGGTTAGAGGCCGACGATGAATGTCGACAGATATGGTTAGACGTTGGGCTGCCGTCCGATCGGGTGCTGCCCTTCGGAATGAAAGACAATTTCTGGGAAATGGGCGAAACGGGTCCGTGCGGTCCCTGTTCTGAGATACACTTCGACCGCATCGGTAACAGAGATGCCTCGAGTTTAGTTAATATGGATGATCCGGACGTCATTGAGATTTGGAATCTGGTGTTCATTCAATTCAATCGCGAAACCGACGGTTCGCTCAAACCGTTGCCTAAAAAACATGTCGACACAGGAATGGGTTTCGAGCGACTCGTGTCTGTAATTCAGCAAAAGTCGTCCAATTATGACACCGATTGCTTCGTTCCCATCTTTGACGCCATTCAACAGTTGACAGGCGTTCGACCCTATAGTGGGAAAGTAGGCGCCGACGACGTGGACGGCATTGATATGGCCTATCGGGTGGTCGCAGATCACGCGCGCACTCTGACCATCGCTCTGTCAGACGGCGGCCGACCCGACAATATAGGCAGGGGTTATGTTCTGCGAAGAGTATTACGGCGAGCCGTCCGTTACGTTGAAAAACTTGGCGGAAAACCCGGAGTTTTTGCTTCACTCGTTCCGGTTGTGATCGAATCGTTGAGTTCTGTATTCACTGAACTCACGAAAGATCCACAAAATGTGATGAATATTATTAATGAAGAAGAGATTCAATTCTTGAAAACCCTTTCGCGAGGAAAACGACTCTTAGAGCGAACTATTGATAAAATGAAAGCCCAGAACCGAACTGTACTTCCGGGTGATATCGCGTGGAGACTTTACGACACGTACGGCTTTCCCGTCGACTTAACGCAACTGATGGTCGAAGAGACGGGCTTTTCAGTCGATTTGAGTGCTTACGAGAGTTGCAAAGCTGAGGCACAACTGAAATCTCAGAGCAAATCATCTCAATTTGACTCCGGAATTGATTTAGACGTCCATTCGATCGCAGAATTGAAAGACAGTTTACAAATTGCGGTCACAAATGATTTGCCGAAATATGACTACCGATCGGTCGACGAAACCCCGAAATCTGTTTACACGTTCGAGAAATGCGAGGCAAAGGTTGTGGCCTTAAGAAAGAGTAAGCAGTTTGTGTCGGAAGTGGTGGCCGGAGATGAGTGTGGAATCCTTTTGGATAAGACATCCTTTTATGCTGAGGCCGGCGGACAGGAATACGACACCGGATTTATGAATAAAACGACCGCTTCTGACGACGAAGAGACCGAGTTTGAGGTGAAGGAAGTGAAAGTTCACGGCGGATATGTCCTCCACATCGGACACGTCGGGTGCGGTGTTGTCAGAGTTGGCGATACATTAAAGTTGCAAATTGATGAACAGAGACGTAAACTTATAATGAATAACCACACGGGAACTCATGTCCTCAACTATGCTTTGCGCTCTGTATTGACAACTGATGCCAACCAAAAAGGATCGCTCGTGTCTTCAGATAAACTACGATTTGATTTCACTAATAATGTGAGTAATGATTGTTTGACAGCTCTTTAAATGCTCTTAAAATGGTTTTAATTGTAATTATTTATATATTTTAGGGCGCAATGAGTGCCTCACAAGTCAAACAAACCGAGAGTATTGCCCAACAGATGATCGCTAAGAATGAAGAGGTTTTTGCAAAGGACTCGTCGCTGGCGTCCGCTAAAGCTGTTCAGGGTTTGCGCGCAGTGTTTGACGAGACATATCCCGATCCGGTCAGAGTTGTCTCCATTGGAGTGTCTGTCGATGCCCTGCTGTCAGACCCAACGGGTCCCGCGGGAACGCAAACGTCAGTCGAGTTTTGCGGCGGAACTCATTTGAAACGAAGCGGACATATCGGCGACTTTGTCATTGCCAGCGAAGAGGCCATCGCTAAAGGCATTCGTCGTATTGTCGCTCTGACGGGTCCCGAAGCGACCAAAGCTTTAAATAAAGCAACCCTTTTGGATAAGTCGGTCGCCAGTCTGAAGGCCAGCATTGCTAACAAATCCAATAAAGAGTTTTATAAGGAGAATGTGAGACAAGTAGTGGAACTGACGGATGAGGTCTCGCAGTCGAACATTGCCTATTGGAAGAAGGATGAGATCAGAAACGAATTGAACCAAATGAAGAAACAGTTGGATTCGGTGGACAGGGCTAACAAAGCCGCACAACAGACACAAGTGATCGAAACCGCAAAATCTTTGGCCCAACAGTTCAAAGGAACCAAATTCCTTGTGACCGCTTTGGACGCCGGCTCTAACGCTAAGGCCTTGGACTCAGCCCTCCGAC